CCTTATTTACATCCTCATCTTTTGATTTGCTTATTGTGTTAACTCACCATACTGGTAATTTTACTGCCTTATGTATTTGATTTTAATGCACTAACCATTAGGGCTTTTTCTGTGATTCTGTGATTGCTTGCTTCAAAGCAGTTGTATTAGCCAAAACGACTAACATGAAATGAGGAAAAAAGTTTGAGACAACTAACCTTAAAGAGGAGCAGTGCCTCTGTCCTCACAGCATAGAAAAAGAATAGAGGAATCTTGAAAGGTAAATTGGTACCAAGATCATAATGCAAAGAGAAAGATTTCCTAGCACCTTGTGGATCAGATTAGTACGCATTTTTCTCTTGTTTTTATGCAACAGCTAGTAAAGTAAAAAAAAACAACAATACACACTGCAATCAAAAGCCAGAGAGGAGATACCTACGGTTGCCACTAACGATTATTTTGCAAATCGATTAATCTGTCGATTATTTTTTTCGATAAATCCATTAATAAACGGATAGCCAAAGGTTCTTTAAAGAAGTTTTTTTTTTACAAGAATAAACCAGATAAATATGCTCTGGATGAAGTTTTTTTTATCTTAAATGCAAAAAGTTGATATATATATTTTTCATAATGTTAATATAATTATTGCTCTAAGTGGGTCGATCTGTCAACTAAAGACATATTTTATGGTCTCTATACTCCAGATTATTCAATTACTAAATTAGAATACTATTATTTCAATAATCCATTAATCACAATTAATCCGATTAATTGTTTCAGCCCTAAAGACGCTATCAAACAAATATATTTCTGGATGATTATTTAGGCTATAGATACTTAAATCATCATGTGCAAAATAAAAATACTTTTTCACCTTTTTTTGGAACATCCCACTATTCATATAAAGGGATGGATATATGTACACCATTGTACTTAATTTTGTGTACAGTGTGTATTTATGTACATATACTTCTACAGGTTTTTCCCATTTTTCTAAGATGTTTTCTATTGAGATCATTTCACAGTATGTAAGCAATACTGAGGTTTCTCTGTACTATATGGTTTTGAATACAGGTCCTGATCTAAAGGTGAAATATACCAACTGGAGGATGGATTCAACATCATCATAGATCTTCAAACTTTCAGTCAGCTCTGCTGTTTTTACTGTACTATGGAAAACTGCTTGATTCATCATGTCTGAGCTAAGAAGACGTCTTCTTCCTCTAATTCATACACTATATGATTAAATTGTTTTATATTATTCGGTAGACTCTTTAGAAAACACAACACAGCAAAGATTGTTGTGGGGGTATCGATGTCTTATAATTGTCTTGGTTGATGGTTTCAATAAATAATAAGGAACAACAAATTGTTGATATTTCTAAGGTTAGGAGGAATTGTCCCTTGGAAGTTGTTTGGATTATTCACCCCATTTATCCCATGCCGTATTATTGCCAAAAGTTGCACACCAAGTCTTATCCATTACACCAATCTGCAGGTCTGCCTGTTCAACAGTGTTGAATTGTTATACTCATTCTAAAGGAAGGTGGCCCTTAAAACCCCACCTGAAGTCCATATGTGTTTGGTCAATTTGATAATGAGAGTGCTGGCTTGTGCAGCGCAGGTCTTCGTTAAGCTTCGGGATCCAGTTGCATGGGGAAAGCAGGCATTCATGATATAATGGCTCTAGTTACCCGTTTACTTTGGGAGCATCATAGAGGATTAAATTCCTGTTTGCTGTCTCATTTCACCAGGGAAGGCCTGTGTTGACAGATTTTCCTTCACTATTGCTTCTGCCTTTTGGAGGACAAGGTATTTGAAAAAAACTGAGAACTGCCATGCAGTTAATTTTTTGAGTCCTATCTGAGCAGTCTAGCACTGACCAGTTGGGGGTAGGACAGCTGCCTTTATGTCCGTCTTCCAGCGTTGCCTGTTTGTGACACAGAATCAGTATGAGCTGCCTTCTTTGTTGATAGAGCTTTTCTTTGAGTGTCAAACCCACTCCGTCCGGATGGTCCCAGACGGGCTGCCATTGGCTCTAAGCCAGCCTGAACAATCACACAACCTTTGTGCGGGCGGCATAAAAGCCCATTTGTCAGTAGTCTGAGTTAGTAAAGGAGGGAATTGTTGTGCAGCTATACCTGCTGTGCTCTTGTCTGTGTTGGTGTCTAGCTGATTTGTTTGTATGTTTCTTTAGATATTATGGAGGTTAAGGTCGCAATCTATCATCCAGGCAAACAACAGAGTGAACCCAGACAACAAAATTCAAAGCTAATTGTCATGATCTGCTACAACTAGTTACCAAAAGATAGAGATTTATCAAATGAAGAATTTTGGCACATTTCTACTTTAGATTTTTGTAAAGACTTTAAGTTTGAGGCTCAGAAGCTAAAAGCCTAACATACTGATAGTATTCCACTTTCCAAGTTGGTATTGACTTATAGTGTTAGTGGGATTGTTTGCATCTGTTAAAACATTTGCGAATACTTGATCAAAGTTTAAAGCGTGAGATAAAAAGGGCCCAAACCCTCATAAGAGATCTGCTTTCTGGTGTAAATACCGGATTGAATTTTTTTATATGCTTGCAAAAATCTTCATACGTAGATTTTGCAAGTATTTTGCATGTTCTGACTTTTCGTATGTTACTGATGATGAGTGTCAGAAAGACGTATTCTTCTTCTCTTAGCTTTAACAGAATCGGTGAAAGTGTAGGTCTATTGCATCCTCTGTTAAAGCAGATAAACAAAGAAAAGGGTTTCCAATTTGTTAACCACAAGTCCCGGCCAGTCAAAAACAGCTAAATTTGATCACCAACTGTCTTCTTTACGAATATCTAGCCAAATTTAACATGTTTAAAATGATTACTAATCAAATCATCCCAACTGAAAGAATAGAGATTTAGTGAAGTTTTAATAACTTTCTTATTACTATTTCAAGTCGTTTAAAAGCATAAAAAAATGAATGAGAAGTTTATCCCTTAGTTGATTTTTAGACTTCTGGCAATAGTGCACAGCAGAAAACTCCTATATAGGCAAGTACTCTCCTCTTGATGACTGAATTGAATGGGGGGGGGGGCTATTGTAGCTGTCTTTTTTAAAACTGTCATTCAACTATTGTAAGTAGCTGACATGATGGTGATACGGTCTTGGCAAATCTCCACTGACACAGGGGGTGGAGATGACCTCCAAGTTGCTCCCATTTGTGTTGTGTTTTGAAGAAGTACTTTCCCGCTTTGGTTTGTTGTTATCCAAATACTAATGTTGAAAAACTATCTAACCTCTTCCTAACAAATAAGCCACTTTAAGCATCAAATTAAACCATATGTCCTGTCTCTGTATTTATTTCAACCCAAATTTTTTTCTGGTCCCCAAACTTAAACTAGATTTGTGCTGCAACTAACAATTATTTAATCTGTTGATAATTGTTTTTGTTTAATCAATTAATAATCAGATAGCCAAAGGTTCCTGAAATAAGTTTTTTTTTACAAAATTAAACCGGGTGAAACTAAAAGTGTACCACTTTTTCGGATAGAGCATACTGACAGATAAATAATTTTTTTTTTAATCTTAAATGCAAAATGTTTATACATTTTTTTTTTTTTTACAATTTTGGTGTAATAGCTGCTCTAACTGGGTTGCTCTGTCAGCTAAAGGCATGTTGTCTCTGTACTCAAGTTAATGATTAATCGATTACTAAATTAGTTGATGATTATTTCAATAATTGATTAATCACGATTAATCAGATTAATTGTTTCAGCCCTAAACTAAATTATTATGTGTTGTTACAGTATCATATTTTGACTCATTTGTTAGAATTAAAGATATAAAATGATCATATTGTTACTGACTGAATTGTTTTAATGTTTTTCCTGGTACTTATATATTTATATATGTCTTCAGATAAGGCCGTGAGTTTCTGAGGTCTCCCTTTTATCCTCCTATAAGAACTTCAGCACTTGGACTAAAGTATAAGTAGACCTGAAAAAAGCATTTAAGCAGCTTTATTTTAGTATTCCTTATGTTCCTATTCATTATGTACATCAGGTGTTTTTGTAAAAATGTGAGCCTGGTTCTGCCAGAGGTTTCTTCCGAAAGGGGAGTTTTTCCTCTCCACTGTCTCTTCATGCTTGCACATCATTAACAGGCACATTTAAATCTTTATCCAAGCTGGACATCTATCTACCGGGTCCCGAGTGAAGCATTAGTATCAACTCACACAGTCTACTGGATCTCACCAATACAGTTTAAGCGTACCGTCTCACCAACCAGCAGTTTATGGACTGAACGTACTTCATCTATTCCCACTCCACCACCAGTTTCAGGTCTGGAGGGAAACATCCCTCTTCCCATACACCTGCTTAAGCATATTAAAGTAAAATTCAGCGCTAATGTTTCCTGCCGAGACCTGAGCGCCAAATTCTTCAAATAATTTTCTCAATAATATTCCTTTTCTTTTTCTTTCCGTGTGAGTTTTTCAGTTTGAAATTTTGTTCAAATTTTAGGCTGTCTCTTGCATCTTAGAGATCTGTGTTTTTTTTCGGCTCTGATATCTAAAACATTGCTCTCATAAAAGTAGTGGTATGCATTCTATGCATACCACTATTTTTAATCTGAGATCTCCACAAATCTACTACAGACATGTCATAGAAAATAAACTTCCCTCTTTAATAAGTTGCTATATCTGAAGACTTTCACTGACTTTATTTTTAAATACCTCAAGAATGATAAAATAACCAACTTAAAATGTTCTTCCCTCAGTAAGGGTATCCATACTGAAAAGTGTTCTTGTCAGCATGACCTGGTAGTGTTTAACAGAGCAGCAAAAGCAAAACAATTCTCTATTTTGGAGAGTTTTACATTAGAATAATGTCAGCCGTTGCATTAACAAACAGCTGATAAACTTTTAAGATTAGTCCAGCAGAAAATAGTCCAATTTTCTTCACCACTGCATGTTTTGTTGCATCTCTAGTTAGGTATCAGAAATGCAATTTCTTATGCACTTTCCTTTTTATCTTTTTACAGACGGGGCAAGAAGCACAGCATTATTCTTCGATCAAAGCTTTCTGTCAGAGTTCATGCCTGCATTGGTAAGTAATTTACCCTGACATAAATTGTACATATTACATATTTTATTTTCTGCAGATAAATTTGCCAGATATAAAAAATAATATTAACTTTAATTACCTCTATTGAAGCAGATTGCTTCCTTTACATCCTTTTTGAACTTACACTATGGCAGATCCAGGTCAGGAGCTTTAATTTGAGTGACAATTAACAACACTTCAACAACACTAAAAAACAGAGAAATAGCGTGGGCCAGAGAGAGTCTCTGTGTTCTTTGAGTAATGTGAGGGAACCAGCACAAAGAACTGAGTGGAAACACATGCAAGCACGCACGCGCAATTGCATGTGCTCAGACACATGTGCCCCCAATCTGATTCAGATGTTGGCTTTCAGATTTCAATTTAACTACATGGACTTGCCTGTTCCGCCCCTTTCTGGAAATACACCGCTGATAAGTGGGTGCTATTTGTTTTGTTAGCTTGTTTAATATTATTTTGTTGTCTTTAATGACTAAAGTACCCTTTAAAAAGCGATTAACTAGCAGAGTTTATTACTGATACATAATGTCTGAAGCAGTAGCAGAGGAAAGAAGAGAATAAGTCTTTAAGACACTCACACACACCCCTCCTGCAGGCTTCAAGTGCAAAAATAACCCCAGATCTGCTAAAGTTATTAAGGTGCTGACTGTCAGGTTTTAAATTTAGCTAAAATCCACATAGACAGCTTTTATTTAAATTAGGTCAACATGATCCGAGTCAGAGTTTTGATTTGAGTGGAAGATGCAACACATGAAGTATCATTTGTTAATATAAGGCATCTGATCAAAGAATTAGTGGTATTCACACTAATTAAAGGAGAGATCAGGTTTGCTTCTGTTTGAGGATTCTTTTATCTTCAGGGTTTAAGTACAATCTGTGTAACTGATACTTTGACGCTTATTTACATTAAAAGCTTTTCCAAGATGTAATTGATAATCTTTTTTACAAGAGTCTGATTGATTTCATAACAGGTCACGAGTTAAAACTTGCTGCAGTCGTAAATATTTGTCTGAAACTGCCTCTAGTGTGGCGGCTTCTGTCCCCCTGCTGATCTGTGGCTGAGCTTAGTGGAGCCTGGGGAGTGATAGACAGAATCACCGCCCTTCTCTAAGTGGATGATGGCCCTCTTTCTCTCTAAGTTGACAGCCACCTGTTGCCCCTCTCTCTGGTACCCCTTAGTGACTCTCTTGTGTGGCTAGCTGATTTATTTCGTCTATCTGAGGCGGCCACTGTTACTGTTCCAGACATTTGAGCCTAATTTTATCAGACTAGAAACTTGACCTTTTGGCCCACTGAGCACATTATTCAGCAATTCTCCTGTTCCACAAAGGAGATAACGTATTAGTCTTTCCATTTAAAATAACGTGGTGTACTTTAAGTTGAAAATTGTACTTAGAAAAAGCACCCTATATGTGTAATTTTTCCCTTTTCTTCCTTTGTTTTCTGATATAAAACTGTGCAAAAGTAATTGTGAAGTTAAGGCTCGTAAATACGTCTTGAAACTGCAAACCTTTAATGTAATTTTAAATGTGATCTCACTGAGGTCTTTGCACTGCATGAGCACACCCACGTTGTTAAGATGTTTATCCCAGAAGCTCCATCATTGAACATGAGTAATGATTTGGTTTTAGCTGTGTTTACTCCAATTGGCCTTTGTATGGACTTCACGCTTTAATTAAGTGGTACATCTGTTAGTGTATATTTTTGGGGTTTTCGGGGTTTCTCTAGATTTACACAAACAGGCTCTGCTTTCTGTTTGTCTGGTTGTATGTATGCACATGCACTATAGCATGCACCAACCACAGCAGGGCCTAATCCGTGTTTCCTTAATCATAGTCATTAGCACTCTCATGCATATGTCTCTGCAGGGATTACAGAGAGGTAGAAGGATAGAAAGAAATCTCTCACCCAAGCAGCTAATGGTTTATTTAAAACTGTAGTTTACCTTTCTGCCATAGTTATTTGTATAAAAAAAAGAAGGGATGCCCCTTTTTTATACCTAAAAGGCTTTTGATATACATGTTCTTTAATGTGCTTTGCTGCTGATAGTCACAATCTATGCCTTCAGCAATACCCAACTGCTTTAAGATGAAATAGCTCTACAGGTGCTGGTCATAAAATTAGAATATCATGAAAAAGTAGACTGATTTCAGTAATTCCATTTAAAAAGTGAAACTTGTATATTATATTCATACATTACATACAAACTCATATATTTCAGATGTTTATTTTGTTTAATTTTGATGATTACAAATGACAACAAATGAAAATCTCAAATTCATCATATCAGAAAATTAGAATATTACTGAAGACCAATAAAAACAAAGGATTTATAGAAATGTTGGCCAACTGAAAAGTATGAACATGAAAAGTATGAGCATGTACAGCACTCAGTATTTAGTTGGGCCTCCTTTGGCCTGTATTACTGCAGCAATGCGGCGTGGCATGGAGTCGATCAGTCTGTGGCACTGCTCAGGTGTTATGATAGCCCAGGTTGCTCTAATAGTGGCTTTTAGCTCTTCTGAATTGTTGGGTCTGGTGTATTGCATCTTCTTCTTCACAATACCCCATAGATTTTCTATGGGGTTAAGGTCAGGAGAGTTTGCTGGCCAATTAAGAACAGGGATACCATGGTCCTTCAACCAGGTACTGGTAGCTTTGGCACTGTGTGCAGGTGCCAAGTCCTGTTGGAAAATGAAATCTGCATCTCCAAAAAGTTGGGCAGCTGCAGGAAGCATGAAGTGCTCTAAAACTTCCTGGTATGTGGCTGCGTTGACCCTGGACCTCAGAAAACACAATGGACCAACACCAGCAGATGACATGGCACCCCAAACCATCACTGACTGTGGAAACTTTACACTGGACTTCAAGCAACGTGGATGAAGTGCCTCTCTTCTTTTCCTCCAGACTCTGGGACCTTGATTTCCAAAGGAAATGCAAAATTTACTTTCATCAGAGAACATGACTTTGGACCACTCACCAGCAGTCCAGTCCTGTTTCTCTTTAGCCCAGGCAAGACGCTTCTGACGCTGTCTGTGGTTCAAGAGTGGCTTGACACAAGGAATGCGACAGCAGAAACCCATGTCTTTCATACGTCTGTGTGTGGTGGTTCTTGAAGCACTCACTCCAGCTGCAGTCCACTCTTTGTGAATCTCCCCCACATTTTTGAAGGGGTTTTGTTTCACAATCCTCTCCAGGGTGCGGTTATCTCTCTTGCTTGTACACTTTTTTCGACCACATCTTTTCCTTCCCTTCGCCTCTCTATTAATGTGCTTGGACACTGAGCTCTGTGAACAGCCAGCCTCTTTAGCGATGACCTTTTGTGTCTTGCCCTCCTTGTGCAAGGTGTCGATGGTCGTCTTTTGGACAACTGTCAAGTCAGCAGTCTTCCCCATGATTGTGTAGCCTATAGAACTAGACTGAAAGACCATTTAAAGGCTTTTGCAGGTGGTTTGAGTTAATTAGCTGATTAGAGTGTGGCACCAGGGGCCATCAATTTTGAACCTTTTCACAATATTCTAATTTTCTGATATGATGAATTTGAGATTTTCATTTGTTGTCATTTGTAATCATCAAAATTAAACAAAATAAACATCTGAAATATATGAGTTTGTATGTAATGTATGAATATAATATACAAGTTTCACTTTTTAAATGGAATTACTGAAATCAATCTACTTTTTCCTGATATTCTAATTTTATGACCAGCACCTGTAGTGTTGTCTTGCATAACAAGGTGGAGGAGTCAAATGAGGAGAGCTATCATTCTCATGGTGAAAGAGTCTGAAAGAACTAATAAGTTATCTGTGCTCTGAATTTAATCTATGGTAATACTTGGATTGATCGGCTTTGTTTGCATACCAATTGAATTTATGTTACTCAAATGGCCTCCATAGTCCCTGATCTCAGTCAAATACAGTACCTTTGGGATGTGGCGGAACCAGGGTTTAAATCATGGATGTGCAGTAAACAAATCAGCAGCATCTCTCCAATGCTGTCATGTCAATATACTTCCAAAACAAACATATTGCATGAAGGATTACTTTGAGGCAGTTCTGAGAGCAAAAGGGTTTCAACCTGATAATAGAATGGTGTACATAATAAAGTGTTTGGTGAGTGTTGGATATCAGTACTTTACTTATTATCTTTTTTGACTGGAGAGAAATTCAAATGCAGCAGGTGTTTAGAAAGGAGCAGAAAATACACACAATGCTGACACAACCAAAGCGTTCTGATTATTTCTCTCATTACATCAAACTTAGAGTCAGAATGATGGAGCTGAAGCTGCACGATTGGGGACTGAGTTGGCTCTTCTTTACTACACCCTACGCTTGACCCGTATGGTTTGCACTTTTGGGTGGGGTGGACATACTTTGCGGCACACTGCTGTGTACTTGGACCTTCCTTGCATGTGTAATCACTGATGCATGCTGTGCAGACAGGTTGTAACTAGTTTAACTAACTTAGATTTTCTTCTGGCCAATAATTCAAGTGTGTTGGCAGAGGACAGAGAAGCAGGTTAGATATAGAATATGATCTTAGACTGAAGTTTTCCTCTACCCATCCATCATCTGACACACTTTATCCCAAGTGGGGTCACGAGGGGTGCTGGTGCCTATCTCCAGTTGTCTATGGGCAAGAGGCAGGGTACACCCTGGACAGGTCGCCAGTCCATCACAAGGCAACACAGGACAAACAACCATTCACACTCACACCTAAGGAGAATTTAGAGAAGCCAATTAACCTAATAGTCATGTTTTTGGACTGTGGGGGGAAGCCGGAGTACCCGGAGAGAACCCACACACGCTAAGGGAGAACATGCAAACTCCATGCAGAAAGACCCCAGGCCGGGAATTGATCCCAGAACCTTCTTGCTGCAAGGCAGCAGTGCTACCCACTACACCCCTGAACAGTTTTCCTCTATTGATCCAGATCCATTTCCACAGTACAGTTTAGATCATCCTTTTTGGTTGCAAAATACTGCT